TTAATAGTCACATTATTTTCAGAACATTAGTCAGCTAATCCCCTATAAACACAGTTGGTGTCATGAGGTGCAGTATGACAGTAAATTAACTGAGCTGAGTCACAGATCATTTAAAGGGATAGTTCACCCAAAAATGAAAATTCTGGAATTTTGGAACATGAATTAAGATATTTTTGATGAAATCTGAGGGCTCTTGGACCCTCCCATAGACAGCAAGGGAACTACCACGATCAAGACACAGTGGTTCAACTGTAATGTTACGCAAGTGACGGAGTAGAGACGAAAATGTGGAATCAAGTGGTTATTTTTGTTTTCTTTGCGCAAAAAAAATATTCTCGTAGCTTTGTTACATTACAGCTGTCAAATTCAGGTGCAGTTTTGCTGTTGAATTCAAAATCATTTTTGAACCTATGGGTCCGCCTACACATTACAGTGAAACTGTACGACTAACTATGGATTTCTTATACTTATGTAAAGAACTACCAAGTTGTTAAACAGTTTTTTTCTTTGGTCATGCCTTATCTTGTCCAGGTCACCAAGTGATCCCATCAAAAACAATATATGTAAGACACCCATGTGCTCAGGGAAGGCAAAAGACACATTGCCTCCTTCTGAAACTTTATTCAGTGGTCTCATTGTTGGACAGTGCAACTTTATATACATATTACATTTTTTATATATTTGTAATTTCATTAAATTTTTTTTAAATTAATTTTTGTATGTTTCAAATTTTATATCAACTAATTTCAATGAGAGATAATTATTTTTTATAGTTTTAGTTAACAATAACAACACTACTCCTCAGAGAAAACACCCCTGCTCTAGACATTAATGAAATAATCATATACCAGTCCTCACACTCCCTTAAGTTTTCGATGGTTGTTAAAGCTGTTCCCTGTTGACCTGAGAGGCTATTTCACAGCCGTGACAAGTATCATGAAATGGCATGGTGTCAAGCCAGGAGATGTAATGGCAGGTCCAAAATTAAACATGAGAGGAAACCCTTGAATGTATGATCAAGTAATTCATAGCTCCTTGAACAGTTTTGCTTTTAAATGGGTGTATAGTAAATCTGAAGATGAGTTTTCTAATGTCAGATCAATGCTAGAACTGAAAACGATAAATCTGTTCAGCTGTCATGTCCAATATCGATCTGTTTGTATTTATAGCGACAGATAAATGGGTCTCTGCCGTATCATGCATCTTGCTGTAAGTACAAAAGATGCTACCTCTCTCTCCATGTCTCTTCCTCTCTTTCTCCCTCATTCTCTCGGGTGAGAATACTGTTCCCATGGCAACACAGCAGATTGCTATGGTTGTGGGCACCATGGTAACGCATTTTATATGCTGGTGGGTCTCTTTCTCCCTCTCTCTTTCACACATACCCTCTCACTTTCATTCTATCTGTTGGCAGTTTGGGGTTGTACGTACCTTCGTGTGTCAGGAATCAGCACAGACTGCCCTAACACACCGATTTGGGAATTGATGGTGTGCGAGTCTGTATGAGACTGTAGTTTAAATGGATCAGATATGCACGTAACTATTGCAGTAACTACTGCAGTTTGTATATGTCATTCTCTAGTAGTGTTAATGTAACAACAAAGTACTATTGCAGTCCCATGATACTTTGATATTTACCATGCAACCAAATATATAATGATATTTAAATAAATGTCCGATATCTGTTGTAAGTGCTGTTTTAACAAATCACGGGGTTATATTTGAAGGGTTAGCATGATTCAGTTAGCCCCTGCTGGTGTGGTAGCTACACCATTCAGTGGGCATACAATGTATTTTTCCATTTACACCTATTCAAAATTAGCTATGATTAGATGGCATTGCAGGGTGATCTGATCTATAAGGAAAAAATAAAGGACCAAATACTGAGCCATGAGGGACTCCAGGATTGAGGGGCAGGAATTTTTTTTCTTCTAACTTTCTATGAGCTGTTCAAGTAGCAAATAAACCAGTAAATTTACAAGCTATTCAAAAGTAGCTATGTTTTCTGTTGTCTATTTTTGCAAACAAATATAGTCTAAATTGCAAGTATTTCAATTGAAGGGCATGGTGTTGTCATTTTTATGCAGCTCCCAAGCACCCATGATCAAGATATCAGATTTCAAGTCACATACTATACTTTTGGAAGCTTCTGGGCCAGACGAGCGACTGCCATTGATATGCTAACGGTTAGCTTTCTCCAGATGTTATAGACCTCCTCCCAGAAGTCAATTTTTTGATGTTAGCTTCTGTACTGTATGTATAGATCAACATTGTTTCACAGTCTTACTCCATTGTATTGTACATGCATGAGAAATACAGTACACACTTTTTGTTTGGTCATTCTGCTCTCTAGCCTTCTCTCTGTTTGCATATTTCTCTTTCATTTCTTTTTTGGTGAGTTTTCATGAAGCCGATTGTTGTCATGGCGACAACAGCCCACAGATGGAGAGGCAAGAGAGCGAGGAGTGCAGCAGAGTTTTCACTGGCTCTGACACAAAACTTGTTGACACACATACATGATACTCACGCTATGATGAAAATCTGTGCGTGTATCAGCGCTCAAGGGCACAAAAACACATGCACCTGACTACAGACTGATTTACAGTCACTGTCTAAATTGGGTCAGTTCTTCTACGTCATAAATTTTACACCCATGGAAGAAAAGGGAAACGACTTGTCTATGTGATTCTGTTTCATGTTTTACCTCTGATGTTTTTTATTACTGTGGGGAAATGTATGTTCTGTGACTGACACAGTAGGGTGAATTAATAGAAAAGTGTATCTATCTAAGCACCTTTCCTTATTTATCTATATGGAACACTGGGGGCTGGTTGTCATACATAATATTGGTCAGGGTATGTTTATTTTTAAGAAATCAATTTCTGAACATCATAGAAACACTTTTGAACATTTCCACTGTCATTGCCAAGGAAAACAAGATACAATTTAACATAGCAATTAATGAAATAGCAAAAGTGTAAAAGATAATGTACAAAAATATTATTTTGGCAAAAATAATACATTGTATTAACGTACAACATGTACATAATTATGAAAAAATCAATTGTCCTGAAAACACATTTGTTTATAGTTAATTAATGAAACTATGATTCACTATAAAATATTAATAAGTATATATTTATATAGAAATATAAATATATTTGACTCTTGTCTGAATGTATGTTAATGTAATTTTTATTGTTTTTACTGGTTGACAAAACAACTATATTAAAAACTAAAATTTCAGTATCATATTTTGGTCACACTTTAGTGAGGACCAATTCTCACTGTTAACTATTACTTCCTCAATAAACTCCTAATTTGCTGCTTATTAATAGGTAGTAAGGTAGTTGTTAAGTTTAGTTATTGTGTAGGATTAAGGGATCTAGAATATGGTCATGCAGAATAAGGCATTACTATGTGCTTTCTAAGTACTAATAAACAGTCAATAGGCAAGTAATATGCATGCTAATAAAAAACTGGTTAATAGTGAGAATTGATCCCTAAACCAAAATATGATATTGAAATTTTAGTTTGGAGGAAACACTGGAAGAAACACACAAAAAGCACTGGAGGAAATGCACACACGAAAAAAAAGAAAGAAAAACACTGCTACAAAAATACATTTGTGTAATATATTGATCTTACTATGATGCCATGGTCTCTCATAACATGTATTGTATAATGTTACTGAAGGGTTTATTTCTTTTTTGTCTTATTATGAACTCATATACATATCACGTAAGTGCCAAATGCTGGAACTGTGGCCGAGAATATTAAGAAGTCAAGTGCTAAGTTAGATCTCAAGGGCAACAAGAAGAACAACACAATATAAGAATGCTTAAACATAGTTGATGCAGTTCAGATATCTAAGTGCTAGATGAGGTCAGTAAAGACGAGTCACTAGACTTCAGTCCATTAAGTACTGCCCAAATTTGTCTGTGGAGCAGGACATGAAAGAGGTTAATTACAAATCGACCGAAAGCATTTTGTATGAACTTATTTGACAAAAGGTGAGGAGGAATCAAATTTACACTCTGATTAGATGGTAATGCAGGGTGATCTGATGTAGATGGAAAAAATTAAAGGACCAAATACTGAGCCATGAGGGACTCCTGGATTGAGAGCCAGTAAATGAGGCTTTTTTGCTAACTTTATATGATCTGTTCAAGTAGGAAATAAACCAGTAAATTAGTTAATGTTGTCCAGTTGACTGAAATGAACAGTTTGTGGCTGACCATGTCAAAAGCTATCCAAGGCAGTGTAGTCAAGATGCTCTGGTTCTTAAGGTTGCGTGACAAGGATTAATTCCTAAGTGATGGAGGTCAAGCATGCTGTTTTTGGAAAAAACTTGACATTTGGATGAAACTATTCACCATGCAGTGTTTGCATTCATCCACAGCATCCATTACAATCAAATACAAAGCCAAATTGTTTCAAGATGCAGCAAACTGGTTTATAATTATAATATAGAAATATGCTACTTTCAAATAAAAAGTTGCTGTTAAATTTTTCTTGGATGACTAACTAAAGGCCAAGATATCGGTTGTTAGATCTGATATGTAATATCACTCACCTCTGTAATAAATATTTTCCCCTGGATTATTATAATTTATTGGGTTCATGATTAAATGAGGTGAAATTCATACCAGCTCCTCAAAACTCTCCAACTGGGTGGATTTAAAAGTCATAATAGTGGTTTTGTGACCAGGAGGCTGCCAGATTAACAATTGCCATTGTGAATATAATTTGCTATACCCTCAAGCAACAAACCTGCTTTCCTGCATAATAAATGTGTGGACATACGGATAGTGTGCAGAAGCCCATACACTAGGTACACTGGAAAGCAATGTAAACTGCTGACATTGAGGGATCCTGTAAATTGCTTCGACTTGTTCTGAAAATATTTGTGCTATACAGGTCTAAGTGAAGAAGGTGCCTTTGTGTTAATAACCACCAAATGTGTTTGGTCTGATATATTCACTCTGTTTTCTCTTCAGGTACCTCATGAATGTGACATTTGAAGGGCGCAACCTCTCCTTTAGTGAGGACGGTTTTCAGATGCACCCAAAGTTGGTCATTATACTGTTAAATAAGGAGAGGCAGTATGAAAGGGTGGGTATCTCTACTTATTTCTCTCTTTTGCCTATTGATTTCTCTTAACTCATGACTGTGCAGTTCCCTGATGTAATTATCAACCTTCATTTACTCTTTATCTCTCTTTATCTTAATTCAAGATTTCAGCCTTCCTCAAATTTTGCCCGCACTAATCCAATCGCAGCCACTTCAACCTCAACACCCTCTCATTATCTCACTCGTAATCCTTCTCTCATCTTCTGCTCTCATTTTGACCTCTTTGCACTTTCACAGGTTGGTAAATGGGAGAACGGGTCTCTGGCAATGAAGTACCACGTGTGGCCTCGGTTCGAGCTCTACTCGGATACTGGGGAGCGGGAGGATGACCACCTGTCCATTGTTACGCTGGAGGAGGCTCCATTTGTTATTGTGGAGGATGTTGACCCCCTCAGTGGCACCTGCATGCGGAATACAGTGCCGTGCAGAAAACAGCTCAAACTCCAGTGAGAATACAATAGGAACAGTACAGATATTCAGGAAAATGTGCTGCAGTTTAGTTCAAAATTCAGATTTGTCGCAGATTTCACAGCAGATGTTATAAGTAGTAGACTGAAAAATTTGATAAAACGTGTCTAAATCACAGATGAATACAGTGAGGTCTAAAAAACTGGACAATGAAAATATATAAACCTGAAAATAAGCAGAATGTTGTGGGATTAAAAAAAAATTCCAAATACTAAGAGACCAAATACTAAGTAAATATTTCACTTGAATTATTATCCTGCTAATATAATTTCTAATTAATGTCTAATAAATTAGAAAGGTGAAAGATAAAGTTTTTTTCAGTGGTCTCAGGCATGCCACACTGTTTGTCTGTGAAGATTTGCTTAATATCCAGGATAGATAAAGCTACATAGTATAGGTAAAATATCTTAAATCAGCTATTTAAATCAATCATTGTATGAGATCAGTATGAGATCAGACATTAATCTTGACTGCCAAAATTCAGATTTGTCTCATGAGAGCACAGATCCTCCATTCAGTTTTCAAATGTAAGGTGCTCTGTCACTGTCAGGACTAGATTATATCATATAGTAAGAAAGTGTGGTGTATACAGTATTGCACTGTTAGTGTACAATACTGATTCATTTATGGATTAAACTGGTATCTCATGTCTCTTTTTGATATTGATTAAAAATATCTGTGTTAAATTAGTGTTAAATTAATTTAGCATTCTTGTAATAAATTATTGCTAAAACACTCATTTATTATGATAAATTATCCAATATTAATGTGAATTTTGACAAATTTAAGTCTCCGTGTTCCAATGTAGTCAATGCAATAGTCAGTGCAGTGATCATTAGTCATTTTGATGTTATGTTGACTCACTAATTGATTTCTTCAGATGAAGATTTATTATGAAATGGTATTTTGATTAAAGAGGTCATATGATGCGATTTCATGTTTTCCTTTGTCTTTGGCGTGTTAAAAGCTGTTCTTGCATACAGAAGATCCATAAAGTCGCAAAGATTAAAGTCTCAAACCAAAGAGATATTCTTTATAAAAGTGAACGCTCAGCCACGTCTTCCTAAAATACCTCATTTAAACACGCCCCCACATATCTACGTCACTGTGTGGGAAGATTTGCATAACACCGCCCAAATGTATACGCAAAGAAAGAAGGCGTATATTCTATAATATAGTATTGTTGCCGCCACCGCCATGTCGTGGAGACACTTTGTGTTTCGTTGCAAAAGCCAAACTACTTTGTTTGGCCTTCCAATAGAGGACACAACTAGAAATCAGTGGTTAAGTTTTATTTAGAACAGTACAACCCAAATATTGCAGCGCAGTTTACAGAGGAAAGATTCCTGAACCTGGTAAGGGGCGTAACATTTCTGTCACACGCTTGAGTAATTCAGCCAATCAGAATGCACTAGATAGCTGGCCAATCGGAGCACACCACGCTTTTCAGACCGATGAGCTTTGTAAAAATCTATGCGTTTCAGAAAGGCGGGGCATAGAGGAGCAACAATAATGTACAGTATGTGGAAAATAATGTGTTTTTTTAACCTTAAACCGCGTAAACACATTTCATTACACCAAATACACAAAATAATGTTATTTTTATCATGGTCATATGACCCCTTTAAGGATTGATGAACGGCTAAGGCGAAATTTGTTAAACGCCCTCTTCACTATTTAGAAAAATAACTTCCTGTGCTAATATTAATCTTCTCAACTTTTTCTTCCTGTTTTTCCTACCTCCAGAAATCAGACAGGAGATTCAGGGATCTACATTAAACGCTGTTGCAAGGGCTTCTGTATAGACATCCTCAAAAAGATTGCCAAGTCGGTAAAATTTACCTACGATCTCTACCTGGTGACCAATGGGAAGCATGGCAAAAAGATCAATGGCACATGGAATGGCTTGGTTGGAGAGGTTAGTTTCAAAATGCTTTTAGTAAGAAAACTACTGGTTCTTATAAAACACCATAGGGTTTGGGTTGAATAGGTTGTTTCTCATCCAAGAGCTTGCTGGATCATACACTTTTGTTCTTCCTGTTCTACCATTCCTCTGCATATGATGGATAAAAGGAGCATATTCATCTGTATGCTTTGTTTGTTTGTTTGTTTTTTCACACTGTAGGTATGCTTATTACAGTACAAAATAGTATTTTGCTCACAACAATTTGACAAATCTTGTTGCATTTAAAATATATATTTCTGCACTAATTTGTGGTTACTCATTTTTGGATAGTGCATATATACCTTTTTTTTTTTCTTCGTACAGTAATGACTAGTACATTTCGTGATTAAAAGGGGGAAATTGGATCAGGAAATGTTTGCAAGCCAGACTCAAACTCACATTGCATGTATGCCATTGGCTCCAGTGTTATTTTAGTATCATTGATATACTACTATAGTTACTTACTATACTATAGTTGTTATTTTGAATTACATTTTATTTTTATATTTTCTTTTTAATTTTAGTTAAAGTTTTAGTAATTTTGTTGTGATGTCTATATAGTTTAAATGTCTATACATATTTATTAACTTTTATAAGTTAAAGTTATTTTATATTTTCTTTTATTTCAGTTAATATGTTAATAAGTAAGGAAAATGTTTTTTTTTTATGGTGTTAGTCAACTGTAATAACCACTAGGACAAATTTCTGGAGCGTCTGTGGATTTCTGATTATATATTATTTCCAAAAAATGAAAATCTGAAAAGTATCTATATCTTTCTTGACAAGAACAGATGAAAGAGAGAGAAAATGTGAGCAAGTGAGTTTGCACAAGCCCAAGGGAAAATACAGCTGGTGCATTAATTCAGATGAGAAATAATATGAGTTACCGGATCATATGTAAATCCACAGTTGGAATGAATGTTATGCAGTTCCCTTTCGGTCCTAGTCATATGAATACTCGGAGAACTGCATCACATTGGAGCCGCAGACTCTTAGTAGCTTTCTTTATGTTTACTTAATGTCTTTAAAAGATCTGATGCTCCAAGACATGCTCATGTTCAGTGATAGATGCTGTAACGCAACACACACTCAAGCAAATATGCAAAATACAGTCTCACATTTTTAAAAGACGGAGAAAGAATATAGGATATAGAATAGCACTACTCAACATGCAGCCCACAGGGCATTCTTGCGGCCTGCATGTTTTTTGAGATTCTGCTATATACCATGTTAAATACACAGTGCAATTTTAAAAAATCCAACACCAAGCAGAAATGTATAGTCCACTCTGCAAACTGTGCCACAGATGAGAGCTTACAGTACAGCTTCATTGATTATAATGGGAGCGATTTAGTTTGATACGTGGTTGTGTAAGTGTATAACACTCAGTAGCCTTATTAATATAACATAGGCACTATAAAAAAATTTGAAGTGTGGCCCTTGAGGCTAAAGAAATCCGATTTTCTGGCCCCTTGAGTAGCCCTGATGTAGACAAAGCCTTCTTGTAGCATACATTCACCTTATTAACTCTGTTTTGTCACATTTTCCTATATCACCAGAGGCCCGTTATATGTAACTCTAAATTTTCCTGGACAAGTGATGGGTTTGGGGAAGTGGTGATTAGGGAAAGGTTAAAAAAAAGGAGAAATGGCTATTAAAAGCTACTGCGACCCACTGTAGGAAGTAACCTTATTTCTCCCTTCCTTGGTCTCACAGTCTTGTTTTTTTTCCATCATGGTTTTCTCATTCACTAGTTCTTTCACCTTTTGCTTCTCACACTGTTGCTTTTTTCCTCCCTCTGTTGTGGCATGCCTAGACTAGTCCAGGTTCGGTATAACCACCCTTTTCCCTCATGTCTAGGTGGTGTTGAAGAATGCCCACATGGCAGTGGGGTCCCTGACCATTAATGAAGAGAGGTCAGAGGTCATTGACTTCTCTGTGCCCTTCATAGAGACTGGGATTAGTGTCATGGTCTCTCGTAGCAATGGCACAGTGTCACCTTCTGCCTTTTTAGGTAAGTGCTATATACACACTGTAATGGCATTCAAGATATAATTCCAAATTCAAGTGCACTCTTCATTAGTAATTTCTTTTCCCTTCTTCTTTTGCTCTCAGAGCCCTTCAGCGCTGATGTCTGGGTAATGATGTTCGTTATGCTGTTGATAGTTTCAGCTGTGGCTGTTTTCGTTTTTGAGTACGTCAGTCCTGTTGGCTATAATCGCTGCTTGGCAGATGGACGAGGTGTGCACACACGCTTATATAAACACACACACACACGCATACACACACACACATCTATATCCTTTATTCAGAACACCAATATACATTTGGTATATATAGGTTAACGTTTTCATCTTATAACCATCTAAAAATTTAAATAATTACATTCATTGCATTTCATTACATTACAATATAATATTTTTATTTAATATAATATACTTCTGTTCATAACTATGCATTTAATGGTACTTTATATGTTTTTTTTCATTTAAATTTATATATACAGGTGCATCTCAATAAATTAGAATGTCGTGGATCAAAAAATTAGAATGTCGTGGAAAAGTTCATTTATTTCAGTAATTCAACTCAAATTGTGAAACTCGTGTATTAAATTAATTCAGTGCACACAGACTGAAGTAGTTTAAGTCTTTGGTTCTTTTAATTGTGATGATTTTGGCTCACATTTAACAAAAACCCAACAATTCACTATCTCAACAAATTAGAATACTTCATAAGAAAAAAAAAACATTTTTAGTGAATTGTTGGCCTTCTGGAAAGTATGTTCATTTACTGTACATGTACTCGATACTTGGTAGGGGCTCCCTTTGCTTTAATTACTG